CATCCGCTCCACCTGCACCATCTGCATCGCCCTGCCCAGCAAGGATAGCTGGAGCACTTGGCAAATCATCGGTGTGAGCAGCTATGCTAGCGCCCTTCTTCTTGCCATGGAACATCTGCAGGTATCGTTCGTACACGGGAGAGCCCAGGCCATGAACCACTTCAAGAAGCGCACAACGGTCCACGGCTACATCAGCGCCTGTCCACCGATGCTGGGGGTACGTCGTGAAATGCGTGCCTGCCAACGCCGTGATGAGACCATTCGTAATGATCTTGGTCGCGATTGCTGGAGTAATGGCTGAACCATCGACAACAAACAATTCGATGACGCTTGAATCCCATCTCCCATTTGGCAGCAAGGCCAAGAGTAACCTGGTTGACAAACGACTCCGCCCAGAGCAAAACACTTTCAACATTCGTTCGCGATACCGCTGTGCAGACAACGGCGGTACACCTTGGCGAATATGAACACCTCTCGCCTTGATCTCCTGTCGCAACGCCTTTCGAAATCAATTGAGCTGGCCAGCCACGTCGATACTCAAACTGTGGCGAATCATGCCTGTGATGTCGGTCTGCGTCAGGGCGAAAACGAACTTGAAGACCGTTGCCGTGACGTGAACGTCGCAAGCACTCCACACGTGATGCCAATCTTGATGCTCTGGGCTGGAGACGTACGATGATTCAACCACCAAGTTAGAAGAGCCTTTATCAGTACATGCCGATCTCAATTTGCGGGCGAATGTGTTGGCTATCGGGGAGACAGCCGATTGGCGAACGAGAGCTTCCTGTACGCACTTTGCCGTGCCCCTCTCCAAGACTTGCAAGTGCGTGACCGACGGCAGCACCAGATACAAGTATTGGCCACCCATGCGAAGAAGCATGCCCATGCCAACTTCAGACTGGAAGATTTTTGAAGATTGGCCAACTGTCGATGTACGCTCACATAAGACTGGAGTCCATGCCTGAATGCTCGAAGATTCTGGCCGCAGGCCTTCAATCTGCATCCTGCCTACCATGTTCTGCGGAAGCAAATCATCCATTGACGATGCCCCAGCTGTCTTGACCCTCATCGGCGTCTCGTCGCATCTGGACATATCAACAAACAGGAGCCGATCTCGAGCAGGGACGCTGCGCATCACAGCCTCCTGCACAGACCATTGCAAGGAAGCTTGCCCGTTGATAATGCAGGCTGCCAAGATATGCGTGCGAGATTTCAATACCTTCGTTGACACATTCATGTTTTGAGCGCCGGCAGAGGATGAAGCTAATTTGACTGTGTCAACTCCCAGCAAGTGCGCACCGACTGTGAGAGTGTCTGCATCGAGCTGTGCACCTGGCTGCTGCGATGACACAATGCAATCCATAAGATATTTTGATAAAGGCCATGGCGTGCTGAATTGTCGATTCTGCCGCAATCGTAAGAATGCACCTTCTCCAACTTCGTAGCACAACTGGGGTCGAACTCCACTGGCTGCCAATCGTTCGTCGTCAGCTGGCGGTCGTCGCAGTTCCCTCGGCACTGGTGCCACTGGGCGCTGATCCACCGCCAGCTGCTGGTCACCGAGCCGCTTCTCCCAGCCTGGTCTGCGCCCCCTCCGCCTCTGCGGCGGCGGCGGCTGCGCCAGAAGCGCGGCCAGTTGGGCCGAATCCAGCTGAGAGTCTGGCTCTGGACGTGGCTGCTCTGGAAGGCCGTCGCTCTCGGGCTGATCCTCAAGGTCAGAACTGCTGTCAGGCCGGCGCTCAAGCTCGATTGCGTCGGACCAGCCAGTGATCGACCCTGGCGATTCTGGAACAACTGGGTCAATCAAATCAGACCAGCTCCCATTAGACTCTGCATCCATACGCACGGACAAGGGCCCGTGAGACGCCACAGAACATGTTTGGGCCAAAACATCAATGGGAAATAAACAATTATCGCTGTGCTATCGACACCACCATACCCTAGCAGGCAAACATTGAATCACGTTCACTTTTTAGGGGGGGATATGCAGCGGGGAGTTGTTCCCGAGGACAATTTGGGCAGGAGGGTTTAACGCACTATCTCCCCGAAGGTTTACGATCAGCTCTTTTTAGTACAACTTTGATGGGGGGGCTGAGGACAACTTTTGGACAACTTTTGGGCAACTTAATTATTTCCAGGAATCCGAGGTTCTCAAGCGCAGGGAAACCTCAACCCTTGACCAATCGATGTTGGCGGCAACCATGCCGCCGCGCCCTGCTGCTAAAGCCCGGCGCCCAGCCCCCCCCCCCCGCCCCCCCCCCCGTGGGTTGTGCAACAGGTGCGCGTCGGTAGTCGCGTTGCCTTGGGCCAGCCCCAGTGCCTGCCAGTAGGCGCGAATGTCTTGCAACCTCGGCTCGCCGCCCCTGGCGTCGTGATTCGTTTAGCTCGTCCACCGCGTCGCATGTCCACTGCTCCCAGTGCTGGCGACGAGAAGAACGCAACCGTTTCGTGTAGCAGCAGAAAAGAAATTGCACCATCTGCAGGGCCGCGCCGTCAACGCCAAGTTATAAATCAAAACCTCCGGGTTTCCGTCGAAGCTCCCGTTGCTGATCGAACGCAGGTGCGACGGTAGCAGCCAGCGCGCGACGTCCAGAACGGCACTCATGAGCCACTGCGAAATACTTACTGTCGATGGTCGTCCTAGCGTCCATGAAGAAGCCGCAATCTGCGTCGGGAGCCTGTTCATCACGCTGTATATTATGCCATTCGTCGGCGCGTGAACACATGTAGGCTTCCAGTTCCATGTGAAAACGTGCTCGACTTTGCGCGCTGCGAAGAGACTGCGCGAGGGCCTCTCGATTCCAATGAGTGCGTCGCGGTACACAGCCCAGTCGGCGGTCCTGGGTTAGATCGCAGCGGAGGCGGGGGTCGGTAGCTCGAGCGAGCAGCCAAACCAAACCTGTCCTGGTACATGATCGCGTGCTTGGCGAGTGCTGGTATAGTCTGAAGATCGCGACCGAGCTGGCGTAATGGGCCTGCTGAACTGACCTCCCCAAACACCGCATGGGGCATGAAGACGAAATCAATATGCGCCCCGCTCTTGCAGCCGTAGAAGGCGGGGCCGTGGCAAATGAAGGTGTTGACCGCAAACGAGGTGGATGTCCCCACCTCTATGGGCTGGTCGCTGCTCACGACGTAGCGCCGAGCTCCCCATCCTGCAGCCGCAGCAGCCCTTGACAACAAGAGGCAGTCTCCTCCTCTGGGCGCCCTGAAAGAGAAATATGGAATCGCAAGGCTCGGTGGCTCACTGGTCGCGCCGAGCCCCCTACCCTGCAGCCGCAGCAGCCCTCTGCGACTTGAGACCTACGTCCGCGCCTTGGCGGCTGC